AGATTTTGTCATTGATAAGCGCCTAAATTGGAACACAGTGGCTGTAGAGTAAAAAAAAAATGTTTTATTTTTTATTTAACATTTATTTAAACTAGGCAAATCAGTTAAGAACAAATTCTTATTTACAATGAAGGCCTACACCGGCCAAACCCGGACGACGCTGGGCCAATTGTGCGCTGCCCTAACATGCTATACATGATGTCAGAGCTCAGGTTCTCCGCTTCCCAGTGCTGTATCGGTTTTGACTGACAACCATTATAAACTTTAGCACCGTGTGTGACAAGAAGATGCCCCCATCCCTCCCACTAATTGGGCTACTTTTGCAAATGTGTTGTTGTCTGAGTGAGGGAAATGCTGTAAATTGAGAGGAGTCAATGCGTTCTGAAAGATGAGACATTGAGGATTATAATAAATACCACTTTGATGTCATACAAGCATACCACACACCCGTGAGTCCAAATGTGCACTTCACATTTCCATATATGAAAACTCATGTTATTTACAGTATCAACGTTTATGATCGTTATGTTTGATCCACAGTTACAATAATGACGTGTTATACCCTGGGTTGTCCTGAACAGAATGAGCCTATGTTTGTCGTATTGTGAAGAACATTTGCTGTGAAACATGCACTTGAATGCACTCATGAGTCATGGCTCCATTCTATGCCGACCAAAATTACAAACTGTTTTATAACTAGCCATTCTGGCAATAGAATAAGCTTTGAAATGATGCCCACCTGACCCAGTTGTGATTTATAATGGAACGTTTTTGGACTGCGTAAACAACAGTAATTGTATGATAGTGGGGACGCAGGGCTGTGTTCCAAACTAAAAACTACAAGTGTGCTTTCCTCAGTTCCTCAATGAAAAAGCTAGGAGAGCTCAAAAAAGCACCTTTATAGTTGAAGGCTCTTTCCTTGAGTCATAAAAGTGCATTGAAATGACTGAGGAACTGTGCACAGTTTGGACAGGTGTGTGGAGACAATAGACCTCTCACTCAAACCCTTGGAATCGTTTTTCTTATCTTGCACCTACTCCAACATTTCAATGAATATTCTTATTATGTTACTGAATGTATGAAAATAATTTTCTGATTTCGTTATTGACAAATACTGTGAAAAGTACAGTAAATGCACATAAAATCAACAGTGTAATATTCAGTCTTGTGTCAGGTGAACTGTTGTGTCCTCAACTTTGGTCTGATAATTTCCCCATTATCTCCAGTGTTCTCATTCAATTGCTAACATGGACTTTTTATAGTTCTTCTATGAGAAACATTTCAATTTGTCCCTATCCATAAACACAAAAGTATGTGGACACCTGCTCGTCGAACACCTCATTCCAAAATCACGGGCATTAATATGGAGTTGGTCCCCCCTTTGCTGCTATAATAGCCTCCACTCTTCTGGGAATACTTTGCACTAGATGTTGGAACATTGCAGCAGGGAAATGCTTCCATTCAGCCACAAGAGCATTAGTGAGGTCGGGCACAGTTTGGGGAAGGCCCATTCCTGTTTCAGCATGACAATGCCCCCGTGCACAAAGCGAAGTCCATACAGAAATCATTTGTCGAGATCGGTGTGGAGGAACTGGACTGGCCTCCATAGAGCCCCGACCTCAACCCCATCGAACACCTTTGGGATGAATTGGAACGCCGACTGCGAGCCAAGCCTAATCGCCCAACATCAGTGCCCGACCTCACTAATGCTCTTGTGGCTGAATGGAAGCAAGTCCCCGCAGCAATGTTCTAACATCTAGTGGAAAGCCTTCCCAGAAGAGTGGAGGCTGTTATAGCAGCAAAGGGGGGACCAACTCCATATTAATGCCCATGATTTTGGAACGAGATGTTCGACGAGCAGGTGTCCACATACATTTGACCATGTAGTGTATATGGATAGGGACAAAAAGACTGTATAAAATAAATAATACAAATACAGATTTATATTGTATGCTACGCTCTTTTTTTTACAATTATATTATTTTATACTAATACAATTGCTCAGAGAATAAGATTGTTTAATAAGTAATAAAAACAATTCTGAAAAAGATAGCTGTCAACAATGCTCCAGCACCCTCCCCTCGACACTGAGCCTTTAAAAAATATTGGGGTGGAGATTGGAGAACACATTTGGAGGGATCTTAGACCATTCCTCCATACAGAATCTTTCCAGATCCTTGATATCCTTCGTCTGCACTTATGGACTGCCTTCTTAAATTCAAACCACAGGTTTTCAATGGGGTTCAATTCTGGACACTAAGATGGCCATTGCAAAATGTGGCTGCAAGTCATATGACTATAGCACCGGTTCCAATCCAAGTGCCAATGCGGATTAGCAAACTTCAGGTAGTGCTATGGTCAGATAACATGAAAATATAACTCTTTGTCCACGCACACCAAGGGTGGGTTTGACCTCGAAAGAACAATGCATATGCAGAAAATACCTCATCTCAATTGTAAAATATGGTGGTGGATCTTTGATGTATATTAAGCAACAATCGAGTGGTTTAATGGGAAATATTTAAATGTAGGAAAAATGCCAATGAATACTTTCGCAAGCCACTGTACATACATATAAGTATTCACCCCCTTGGCATTTTTCCTATTTTGTTGCCTTACAACCTGGAATTAAAATTGATTTTTGGGGGGTTTGTATCATTTGATTTACACAACATGCCTACCATTTTGTGAAACAAATGAAAAGAAATAAAACAAAAAAACAGAAAACTTGAGCGTGCATAACTATTCACCCCCCCAAAGTCAATACTTGTAGAGCCACCTTTTGCAGCAATTAGAGCTGCAAGTCTCTTGGGGTATGTCTCCATAAGCTTGGCACATCTAGCCACTGGGATTTTTGCCCATTCTTCAAGGCAAAACTGCTCCAGCTCCTTCAAGTTGGATGGGTTCCGCTGGTGTACAGCTATCTTTAAGTCATACCACAGATTCTTAATTGAATTGAGGTCTAGGCTTTGACTAGGCCATTCCAAGACATTTAAATGTTTCCCCTTAAACCACTCAAGTGTTGCTTTAGCAGTATGCTTAGGGTCGTTGTCCTGCTGGAAGGTGAACCTCCGTCCCAGTCTCAAATCTCTGGAAGACTGAAACAGGTTTCCCTCAAGAATTTCCCTGTATTTAGCGCCATCCATCAGTTCTTCAATTCTGACCAGTTTCCCAGTCCCTGCCGATCAAAAACATCCCCACAGCATGATGCTGCCACCACCATGCTTCACTGTGGGGATGGTGTTCTCGGGGTGATGAGAGGTGTTGGATTTGCGCCAGACATAGCGTTTTCCTTGATGGCCAAAAAGCTCAATTTTAGTCTCATCTGACCAGAGTACCTTCTTCCATATGTTTGGGGAGTCTCCCACATGCCTTTTGGCGAACACCAAACGTGTTTGCTTGTTTTTTTCTTTAAGCAATGGCTTTTTTTCTGGCCACTCTTCCGTAAAGCCCAGCTCTGTGGAGTGTACGGCTTAAAGAGGTCCTATGGACAGATACTCCAATCTCCACTGTGGAGCTTTGCAGCTCCTTCAGGGTTATCTTTGGTATCTTTGTTGACTCTCTGATTAATGCCCTCCTTGCCTGGTCCGTGAGTTTTGGTGGGCGGCCCTCTCTTGGCAGGTCTGTTGTGGTGCCATATTCTTTCCATTTTTTAATAATGGATTTAATGGTGCTCCGTGGGATGTTCAACGTTTCTGATATTTTTTTATAACCCAACCCTGAGCTGTACTTCTCCACACTTGTCCCTGACCTGTTTGGAGAGCTCCTTGGTCTTCCTGGTGCCGCTTGCTTGGTGGTGCCCCTTGCTTAGTGGTGTTGCAGACTCTGGGGCCTTTCAGAACAGGAGTATATATACTGAGATCATGTGACAGATCATGTGACACTTAAATAAAGTCCACCTGTGTGCAATCTAACTAATTATGTGACTTCTGAAGGTAATTGGTTGCACCAGATCTTATTTGGGTGCTTCATAGCAAAGGGGGTGAATACATATGCACGCACCACTTTTCTGTTATTTATATTGTCGATATTTTTTAATAAGTACTTTTTTTCATTTCACTTCACCAATTTGGACTATTTTGTGTATGTCCTATACATGAAATCCAAATAAAAATCCATTTAAATTACAGGTTGTAATGCAACAAAATAGGAAAAACGCCACTTTTGCAAGGCACTGTATATGTATGTATGTATGTATGTATGTATGTATGTATGTATGTATGTATGTATGTATGTATGTATGTATGTATGTATATATATATATATATATATATATATATATATATATATATTTGCACAAAAAAACATTGTGGTGTTAAATCTGACAGACTGAGAAAGGGGCAATCTAGTACTACAATAAACTGAAACGATACATGCATTTAGGTTCAAAATAAAAGGTCACAACAGTACACATAAATAATTTAAACAAAATGTAATGACTGCATTCCCCTACGATTGCCACTTGCAGTACATGAACCCCACTAGTTACCCATAGGGATGGGCTTTTTAAATGAAGTAATTACTTCACATAATCATTAGAATACTTATTCTGTGATGCACGTGGCCATCACAGGTAAAGTTCATCTCACAAAGTGCACAGCTGGTTCCATTAAGCCTCAACAAATGTATCATGATCCTCAACTTTCCACCGTCTGAAGCAGTCCATTGTGTGAGTCTCAAACTGAAGGATCCTGAGAATATAAACATGTTGTTTGAGAAAAGGTGCAACTGTAATTAAGTCCCTATTAATTACAAGTATGTAATTGTTCAATTTCCCTCATTTATTCAAAAGCATTGGATTGGTGCAAGCATGGCTGGAGGGAGTCCCCACCATAATACTCACACCAGTCCATTCCTTTTAAACCCATGAGGGGGAATGTACAAACTGCACACTTTGGGAGAAGGGTAGAGAATTGTAAGGTTCATGCATAGAATACCTGCAGCTCCATTGGTGGCTCCGGACTGGTCATCTGTTCTTCCTTTGCCGAAGCTGTGATGACATTCTGCTGCAGACTGTGGGTCACTGGTCCACTCACCCTTTCTCGACACTGACTAGAGGGGTGCTCATCCTCCTTATTGTGTGGTTGCTGTTGGTGAGATTTCACTATTGTAATGTGAAAAGGGATTTATTTGACACCATTCTGCATCCTACTGCCTTGATGTTGTGTGGAGTTGAAAGGGCGAACAAGAGACAGTGCAGTCAGCATCTTGCTGTGGTTGGGCACTTGCCTTTGCTGTCCTCTTTGCTGGACTAGAAATATGGGCTCTGCTTTTCTGTTTATGATCAGATCCTTGCAGTATCTCTTTCAAGTGAAGAACTCCTCTGCAAAGGTGCCCATTATTTTACTTGGTTTAAGAGATACTGCCATCTTTTCTTTTCTTGGTCTCTTTGGAAGCAGGTTTCCTGGGGCAGAAGGCCATGTGCTTGGTTCGGCTGCGGCGGTATGTGAATTCTCTACTGCAATGTGGACAGACATAGATCTCCTGCTCCTCATCCACTAGAGAAGAGGCTTTATTTGTCAAAGAGGAATACTTACTCCTCTGTGAAATGGCCCTCGGTACCAGCTGTTTTTTTCCATTCGTTAAGCGCATTAAGCGTTAACTTGGCAGGTGGCTCCTGATTGAGTATGGGCCGATTTGTTTGACTCGCCATGTAGAGAGCATTTTGGCAATTTGTGGAATTAGTAGAGGACAGTACTCCATTTTGAACTTTTGCAAAGTGACGAAGAGGGATGGGGTTCTTCTTGGGCGTGTGACGTCTTTTGTTGTTGGCATTTGCACAAGCAAGAATGTATTTGTGCAGCTCTGGCATGTTATCGAAGCTTTTGAGACATTTAGTACATCGGATAGCTGGGATGCTCTGGGTGGTGAAGTTGGTAGCTGACTCTACAGAGCCGGCAGGTGTCCGGTTATGACTGGGATAGTGTTGGTTGATGCCAAGGCGAACATTCAGGCCTTTGGTCTTGCCTCCCTCGGAACCCATTATCTTTATTGTTGTAAAGAGTTCTTCTCTAGCATCATCTAATTCTCCCTCATCTTTTATGGCAGCTTTATCAGACTGTCATAGCACAGTGGATGAAGCCTCTGTGCTAAATTTAGTTTTACTGTTGTCGTTCTGGGGTCGCAGCTTGCCATTTTCCTTCTCTGTATATTTGCATTCCTTGCCAGAGTGCAACTCCTCCTGATGATGTTTCAGGTTGCGAAGATAAGCAAATTCATTTGTACATGCACAGCAAATATAGATCACTATGGAGGGTTGACCTGTGCTCAAGCAATGCTGTGGGCTTCCCAAAGAGCACTACACAGAACTCACATTTGTATGGCCATTCATCAGAATGCTCACTTACATGATGACCCAGTTCCTTCATTAAATGAAAAAGCTTATCACATACATTGCACATTAAGTCCTTAGTGAAAGTCTCCTGTTGCTTGGACAGTGTCTCATTTGAGGATTCTTCCACTTGACTTGTGCCCTCAGAGGTCTGTACAGTTTCAGATTGGCAGATAGATATGTCAGCGCATACTTCCTTTTGGTTAGATTCTTCTTTAAGAATGGCAGAAACAGGGGAGGAAATGGATTCTAGAAAAGTTGGACACTCAGATATGACTGCAGACAAGGTTGAAAGGGTAACGGATTGCTCTATGGTAGATACTAAAACAGTAGGGTCAACGGTTTCATGGTGAGGCAAGGACATAAGCTGCTGTTGCTCTTCATGATTTATGACAATTTGTGCAGGTGCTGTAGCTTCAACAGTATTTTCTTGAAAAGCAATTGCAGTAGGGACAAGGTTATTTGGGGATTCAAGAGTGACTGTGCATTCACTTAAAACAGTATTACTAGTAATCAGTGGTGGAAAAAGTACCCAATTGTCATACTTGAGTAAAAGTAAAGATACCTTAATAGAAAATTACTCAAGTAAAAGTGAAAGTCACCCAGTAAAATACTACTTGAGTAAAAGTCTAAAAGTATTTTGTTTTAAATATACTTAAGTATCAAAAGTAAATGGGATTGCTAAAATATACTTAAGTATCAAAAGTAAAAGAAAAAATCGTTAAGTACTTTACACCACTGCTAGTAATGTTAAAGGAGTTGATAAGGAAATAATTTAGAGTTAAAGCTGGAGAGCATGTTGGCACTTCAAATCCAATGGTCGATTCAACTGTGGAAGTGTTTAGAGCTATTTGATTTAGGCCTATAGTGTGATCTGTGAGAAATACATGCCCTTGTAGATTGAGAGTTGGGTCAAGGGGTTTAGAGATGGCAAGGAGGCTTGCAAAATTAGAAGTAACCCAATCTGGCAAAACAGCGCTCAACTCACACTCAGCTGAATTCAATGAATTTTCAGTGCAGATTGCGAAAGGTTTAGGAGATATTTCAGGAGTCAATGCTTCAAGGGTAGGTTGATTTGTGGAACTGCTAGAGGAACATGTTGGTGTCCCTAAAAAGGTAATTAGTTAAGGAGTAGTTGGTAGGACTGAATGTGGGGAAGCACGTGTTATGGTGCATGGTGAGATCGACTGCATGGTGACTGAAACTAATAATAATATGCCATTTAGCAGACGCTTTTATTCAAAGCGACTTACAGTCATGCGTGCATACATTTTTGTGTATGGGTGGTCCCGGGGATCGAACCCACTACCTTGGCGTTACAAGCGCCGTGCTCTACCAGCTGAGCTACAGAGGAAGGGGTCTGGATTAAGTGCTGCAAAGGGCAAAGTTAATCCAAATACAACTCTTTCAGTAGCAGGTGACATATCCAAAGCAATAACTATGGCCAAGTCTGTTACTAACAGTGCATCAGGATTTCCTAATATACTTAATCTTTGCTCTGCAGCAACCTCTAGGTTTGCATACTCATTCATCAGCACCTTCTCCAACATAATGGTGTTGGGCCTCCTCTTTTTATTTAGGGGTTGTGGAACTAAGCTTCCCTTTGCTTCTGAATCAGCTGCATTCTTCCTGTGCACACTCAAGTCCAACACAGCTTCTCTTAGGGCTTCATCTTCACTTCTCTTGACAGCATTTGAGAGGTCCCAGGGTTGCTGGTTGCAGGAACTACCACCACTCATTGGGGACCACCCCTCTGGCAAGACATGAGTTGTCACTGTATCCTCTACCGGTGGACTGGTGGAGATCTCACTCTTATCATTGGTGGATAAGCTGCATGCGGGTGAACTGCACTGGCTCTCCGACATTCGGACATTGAGAACATTAGAAACTTCCACATCTGTTGTTGTGCTTTCAACAGTTGATGAAGGGCTTTGCTGTGGTGAGTTAGGAGGAGACCCTCTCCTTTTAAACCCCCCCCCCCCCCCCCCCCCCCCGATCCTGCTGGGATGACAGTCAGGGAAAGTGGTGAACACAGCTTCTGGCTATCTGTGATAAGGGCAAGGGTGAGTTTGAGGCCATCTTGCGTCTTTAAAAGCTGTTTCACAACAGCTTCCAATTCTAGTTCAGTTTTGATTTGGGGTAGAAGAGGTGGTGTGGCAGTTCTCATTTTTGTCAAGGGTTGACCAGGTCTCTCTTTTCCTGTGCGAGTAGCAGCATGTACTTTAAGAGCCTGACTGATCTGGGCAGGATTAATAATCACAGCATCCAGTCCAACTACCTCACATCTACTGACAGTGCTTGTTGACACAATCTTCCCATCAATATAAAAGCTGAGGTTCTCTGAGATGTTACCAGAGATATTCAGCATATATTGCTCCTCTTGGTCCCCTACATTCTTAAGAACTGCGATTGTGTTTGTGTTGGAGGAATAGTGTTGAGATGTAATAGGAGGTAGCTTTGGAGGTTTTGCCTCCTGCAACAGAGGGGCTTCCTTATCTTTGAGCCGGAGGTGGCGCTTGTGGATCCTGTGCTGATGTCGTCGCATGTTTGTATGCATACTAAAAAACTTTTTGCAATACTTGCAAGTGTGACCACCTTGCAATTATCCATGTTCATGTGATGTGGATGCCTGTTCTCCCTCTGCCAAAACAGAGGCACTGGAGCTACTGGGAGAAGAAACACATTCTGGACCGTCGCTCTGAGGGGAAGAACTTAAAGGGCCCACAGTCTTTATTAAAGATCCAGGCCTTGCCTTTGCATTTTCATGTCTCCTCTCATGCCGTTGCCAGCCAATCTTTGAGCCAAAGGACTTGATGCAGTACTAACACTTGAATATGTGTGCGTGGTGGTTAGCTAAGGCATGGACGTGTATGTGACGTTCTAAGCCTTGCTTACTGGTAAAATGTCTCTCACAGAATTGGCAGGGTAATTAGTCCTGGAGCTCTACATTAGGGTTGTGGTCAGGATCCTGTAGGAGCTCAGGGGTTGTTGAATGGGAGGCCAGTCCTAAATCCTGCTTCAGACCACAGCCTTTGGCCTCAGGTTTTTGGCAACTCGTGTTTGAATCTGCCAGCTCATCAGTTTCCATGGACTTAAAATAAAGATTGCAGTGAGTTTCCTCTGGTTCCATCTCCTCCTCCTCCACATTTTCATCATCCCCCAATTCTGAAATGTATGAAGCAAGAGAGTTGTCCATGGCCTTGGAAAGCTGCGTACCCTTTTCTGTGACACAGAAACTTTGTGCAGGGATCGGCAGGTGGGAGAACCTCTCAGCTCAGACCTATGATTGAACATATATACAAATTAAGATCCTGTAATTTAATATCTATTCAGCCTAAGGGCCCCATATTGACAGTGCAAATACATCACACTAGTCAGGACTCAACATTCCCACTTGCCTGTTGGCCCGACAACGTCTTCTGAACCCACGGGCAAGATAATCAATCTTTCCAATGGCCCGCTCTGGCCAGTACACTTTTAAAACTCCACAACATCAAAATAATATTTATTTGAATTTCAAGGGGCAATCTGGGAATGGTACATCCATTTTGGGACTTTAAATTAATGAAATATAGCCATTGATTATAAATGCCTAATTAGCTTAGTTCAACTATAGCTTCAAAACATGGTTAAAACTACAATTTTGATGTCATGGATGGTGAGCCTCAAAACATGGTTAAAATTATCATTTGGATATCATGTATAGTCAGTCCTTGCATCCATAGCTCAGCCTATGCATTTGAGAGTGGTTGCATTTCTCCAGCTTTGGCTGAGAGTTTCCTTTTGCGACAGTGGAAACTTTGCAATCCGCCTGAACTCTCAATTTCTAAGAAGTTTCTAGACCCATAAGTTAATCACGTAGTTAACCAAATTGCGCAATATTTTCCTTCTGGGTTAACCAAGAACGAGATTAACCAAACATGAATGGCTGCAGGTCTGACGCATCATACTTGGTTGTTATGCATCAGCGAGTCCTGGGTAATTCCACGGTAACAGAATGACGCTGAAACTCAGATTTTCACTTTAAAGGTATGCCAAACAAAACCATTGATTGCAAAGTTAAATAAATAATACAACTCTATGCACAAGGATTACTTTAACAATTTCTACTGAACATTTTACAAAAACACATTTACTCGAAGAACAGCGCATACAATATGTAAAGTTTGGTAACAGAATGACAGTAAATATCCCTCTGTTTTTTATGTGACCACATTTTCCAAATTCCAAATAAACATTCAAAGATGTCTGCAGAAAGAATAATAATAAGCCATTTAGCAGACGCTTTTATCCAAAGCGACTTACAGTCATGCGTGCATACATTTTTAGGTATGGGTGGTCCCAGGGATCGAACCCACTACCTTGGCATTACAAGCACCATGCTCTACCAATTGAGCTACAGAGGACCAGAGAATGGGGTGTCAGCTATGATATGACACCTTGAGTTTGAAAAAATATATTTGGTTATTGAACTACAGTAAGTAAAGTGGATTAACAACCAGTAACAGAATGATGGTAACAGAATTACATCATGGGTCCCTGATCTGTACTATAAAGAAATGCATAATTATTAATGTAATTTGATTTGCTCCTATGAACTTCACATGTTAATGCTCATGGGGGTTTTTACATGGAAATGCCCTTCTTCAATTGGGAGTTTGATGAAAGTTCCGGAAATCTTTATGAGTTAGCCTATTTATTTGCCTACTGTTAAGCTGAATATGATTAAAATGTTTGTGCAGAGGATGAGAGGTGACACTCTTCTTAGATGTAAAGTCCCCTATTTCGGGAACTTTGAGCGGTTCTGGCCTGGTTCCAACGGCCATTTTTGTGTACAGAGCACTCTGTGAAGGCGCAACATCAATTGCTGTGCACTCCGTGAAAGCTCTGGTTGTCCCGCTTCACATGCGCATCTCCGCACTCAGCTGAGATGCAGTATGTGAAATCTGATACCTCATTTGCATAGGGAGTGACACATCACATTTTCTGGCCTATCCAGACAAAGGATCGATTTCCTCTGGCTGTGAACCTTGCAAAATGGCATTTGAAACAGGAGAGCGATTGCACCAAAATCAGTCTCATCTCATCTCGTTGTGATGTTCTCAGATGAATTTAGAGCTCTCAACATGAACAAATACAAAGAATTTTGTAGAATTGAAACAAGACCACTTTCTCTTGGTCATAAAGGGACGAAATCATTTTGTGCTTAAAGATTAAGTTGTAACGAGTCAGCAGGCATTTGAGGACGCTGGGCATAAAATTCACTGTCGTCAGTTATATGAAATGGTGTCAATTTTGTACTGTCACAAAGTATGATCATATTTATTTTACAGTTATAAGAAAGGTAAAATCTTATAGTAAGTCATTTATAATTTGATTGTTACTATATTTACAAAGTATTTAAATCATTTCAAGCCCTATTTCCCAATTTTTGTTGAATAGGAAAATTCAATTAGATTTTTCATATTTTCATCATATTTGTACTGTGTACTTGAGCTTGTGTCCTTAAAAGTGACTACACCTCAGCAATTTATAATTATTTGTAACAGAAAGGTGCGATTTTAATCTTTCTGGCAGTATAAGCATTAATAGGTATCACAGGAGGTTGGTGGCACCTTAATTGGGGAGGACGGGCTCATAGTATAGGTGGAATGATATCAAATACATCAAACACATGGTTTCCATAGTTGTTGCCGATGTAGGCCTATTGGATATTTATTAAATCTTTATTTACTTAAGTTCTTGTCTCTCATCATCATTGCATCTCTGCTAGCTAGCTACCTGCCAATGATTTGTTTAGCATAGTAACGTCGAATGAATAGAATGTTTAGAATGAATGACTGGGTGAAAACATGAGAAAATAACTAACGACCAGCGTGCTTAGGTAGCAACTTCAGAATGCAAAGACGAATTGACTCATTCAAATAATGTTTCTAATTGTAAAATGTAATTAATATTTGTATAAATATGTTGGCAACCGTTTTTATAAAAGCAATAATGCCCTCAAACCCGGGAATTATCGTGTGACAACTCCCTCCAAGGGCTGTATCCTGGCCCAGGTTTGAGGGCATTATTGCTTACTTATACAACGGGTGGGTCTAATCCTGAATGCTGATTGGTTAAAACCGCATTCCAGTCTGTGTCTATTCCACAGGCTAAAGCTGCAGTATGATGTTGAAATGCCAATTTATTCTGTTCCATCTGACTCTCATCAGCCCAGCCAGGAAATGTATAAGCTTGATCTCCACTATAAAAAGCATCTAGGCATTATCTCACATTTCTTTAAGACTACAGCCCCATTCTCATCGACGGGGCTGTAGTGGAACAGGTTGAGAGCTTCAAGTTCCTTGGTGTCCACATCACCAACGAACTATCATGGTCCAAACACACCAAGACAGTCGTGAAGAGGGCACGACAAAGCCTTTCCCCCCCAGGAGACTGAAAAGATTTGGCATGGGTCCTCAGATCCTCAAAGAATTCTACAGCTGCACCATCGAGAGCATCCTGACTGGTTGCATCACCGCCTGGTATGGCAACTGCTTGGCCTCCGACCGCAAGGCACTACAGAGGGTAGTGCGTACGGCCCAGTACATCACTGGGGCCAAGCTTCCTGCCATCCAGGACCTCTATACCAGGCGGTGTCAGAGGAAGGCCCTCAAAATTGTCAAAGACTCCAGCCACCCTAGTCATAGACTGTTCTCTCTGCTACCGCACGGCAAGCGGTACCGGAGTGCCAAGTCTAGGTTCAAAAGACTTCTCAACAGCTTCTACCCCCAAGCCATAAGACTCCTGAACAGCTAATCATGGCTACCCGGACTATTTGCACTGCCCCCCCACCCCATCCTTTTTACGCTGCTGCTACTCTGTTAATTATTTATGCATAGTCACTTTAACTCTACCCACATGTACATATTACCTCAACTACCTCAACTAGCCAGTGCCCCCGCACATTGACTCTGCAACGGTACCCCCCTGTATATATAGCCTCCCTACTGTTACTTTATTTTACTTCTGCTCTTTTTTTTCTCAACACTTTTTTTGTTGTTGTTTTATTTTTACTTTTTTTGTTAAAAATAAATGCACTGTTGGTTAAGGGCTGTAAGTAAGCATTTCACTGTAATGTCTGCACCTGTTGTATTCGGCGCATGTGACCAATACAATTTGATTAGATTTGATTTAGTTTTCAACAGCTGAGATTTGTATAAACCTTGCTGTCTGTCTCTCTGACATTTGCAACATTGTTTCAATATTCAGATTATTTCACCAGCTGTCCCATAGTAATGTTCAACGTGTCGGAGTCGGGATGAGACAGAAAGGCAGGCAGCTTTTCTCAGCCATTTTTATGGATATATACAAAGAACTATCAATAGAAAACAGGTAAAACAAAAACGAAGTGCAGCTAGTTTGCTGTCTTTCCAGCTTCAGTTTTAAGTGATTGTGTTAGCTGTGTTGTTGGCTAGCTGATCTGAACAAGTTTCCTGACGAGAGAGCACATTTTCTACGCCAGGCGAAATCACGCATCATTAGCTCATTGTTATGGATGTATCCAAATAAATGTAACTAGAAAACAGCTTAAACAAACGTAAATGCAGATACTTTGCTGTTATTCTGGCTGCACTGTTTGACGTGACTGTAAATCAACCGTAGTTGGCTAGCTAGCGAGCAAGGAATAAGAATGTTGCCAGCTAGTATGGCAAAGGAACATTTAGAACGAACGACTGGGTCGCGTCCATAGATACAGAACAAAAAGACTGAACGACAAGGTCGGGTCTCTGGCAACCGAACCGATAGAACGAATGACCAGCCGGCTTCGGTAGCAACCCTAGATTTGTGTCGGGATTATATCTTGTGTAAGGATGAAATAGTATGAATAAATTAATCAAAATAACGTTTTTAATGAAAATATGTAAATCATTATTTTACTATGTTGTTAACCAGTTGTATAAAAGTGATAATGCCAGTGTTTGGAGGATATATTGGCTTGGTTTGCAGGCCCTCGACTTCGTCTCAGAACTAACAACACCTGTGCCAATATATCCTCCAAACACCGGCGTCTCGGGCATTATCACTTAATTATAGCGTCTGTGATAGCATGGGGAATGCCATTGAGGCAATCTCTATTTTAAAATAGTACATTTTCTTCTTCTTCATTGGCTGATTGCTCCGAACTCAGAAATCCCCACCTAATTGACTACC